CAGGTAGACGCAGTTGACCCTGTCGAGGTAGCTGTTGACTCTGGTGCTGCTAGGGGTGCTGAGCCTGCGGGTGCTGGGTCTGGGGGTGCTGACTCTGGGGGTGCTGAGCCTGGGGGTGCTGAGTCTGGGGATGCTGAGCCTGGGGGTGCTGACTCTGGGGGTGCTGCGCCTGGGGGTGCTGAGCCTGGGGGTGCTACGCCTGGGGGTGCTGCGTCTGGGGGTGCGGAGTCTGAGGGTACTGGACCTACTCGTGTGGCGTCTGGCGGTGCTGGGCCTGGAGGTTCTTCGGGTACTTCGTCCCGGCGGGAGCTACTCTCTCTACAGGAGCTGCGTGAGTGGTTTGCCCGGCGCTGGAGGCGAGCTGCTGGAGCTGGAGGTGCTGCGGGTGCTGGAGGTTCTGCTGCTGCTGAGGGTGCTGGTACCGCGGGTCCCGGAGGTGCTCGTACTGGGAGTACTGGAGCTGCTGGTCCTGCGGGTGCTTCTCGTCCTGGAGCTGGTGGTGCTGCGGGCGTCGGTGCTACCGAGGGTGCTAGAGCTGGACCCGCTGCGTCTTCTGGTGGTCCGGCTGGAGCTGGAGCTACTGAGGGTGTTAGCGCTGAGGGTGCCTCTCGTGCTGGTGCCTCTAAGGGTACTGGAGTTGGCGCTGCTGGAGCTGGGGGTGCTGCTGGCGCTGGTGCTGTCGTTCGGGGTGCTGGTGCTGTCCCTTCTGGTGCTGGTGGTGCTGCGCGGCCGCGGCCGTACTTCTTTCCGCTCCTTGAGCAGGTTCTTGGTCTTCCGCCCTCTGCTAGTCCGGCTCCTCCCTTAGAGTGTCCACCGCCTGTCCAGTCCGAGTCACAGTTACAGCCTACCTCTCCTCTGCCTGCTCCTTCTCCCTACACTGTCTTGCTGAGCGTCGTGAGCCTGCGTCTCGTCCTGCGTCGCCTGTTCGTGCTGAGCGCACTAGTAGTCGTGGTTCGCGTCAGCGTCCTCCCCCTGTCCCAGGCACGCACCGGATGTCTCTGCGTCCCTCCACTGCTCCGCTGCGTGCCCCTTTGCCTTCTCCTCCTGAGTCCTCTCTTCCTGTCCTTGCTGACCCGGAGTCGGACTCCCTTCGTGCTGCCAGTCCTACTGTCACGCGTCTCCTTGCTACTGTTGTCACTGACCCTTCCTTTGAGTCCGCTGCTGCGTCTGCCTTAGTTTCTGAGCTTGTCGATTTCGCTGCTCGCTGTCGCCTAGACTACGCTGCTAGTCTTGTCGCTGAGTCTGCGTCTGTCTGTCCTCCGTCCGTCGGGGGTGAGTGTGCTCTTGGCACGGACGTCCTTGAGGACAGGCAGGAGGAGTTCCAGTGCTTTTCTGCTGCTTCACCTCATCTTGTGTCCATGCTGCTTGCCCCTGAGGGAGACCCGGATGCACCAGACATCCCGACTCCGCGCTCCTACGCGGAGGCGATAGAGGGTCCCTACTCCTCTCAGTGGCAGGCAGCCATGGATGCAGAGATGGCTTCCTGGAAGTCCACAGGCACCTACGTCGACGAGGTTCCCCCTCCTGGGGCGAATATCGTCAGTGGCATGTGGATTTTCAAGGTGAAGCGGCCGCCGGGTTCTCCGCCTGTCTTCAAGGCGCGTTTCGAGGCTCGTGGCTTCAGTCAGCGGCAGGGAGTTGACTACTTTCAGACCTTCTCTCCCACCCTGAAGATGACCACTCTTCGGGTACTGCTGCACATAGCCGCTCACCGTGACTACGAGCTTCACTCTCTTGACTTCAGCACTGCTTTCTTGCAGGGCAGCCTGCACGAGGAGATCTGGCTGCGCCGCCCACCTGGCTTCACTGGGTCTTTTCCTCCTGGTACCCAGTGGAGCCTCCGGCGGCCAGTCTACGGTCTCCGCCAGGCACCTCGTGAGTGGCACGACACACTGAGGACTACACTTGCGGCTCTTGGGTTTGCTCCTTCTACTGCCGACCCGTCGATGTTTCTGCGCACCGACACTTCTTTGCCGCCGTTCTACATCCTCGTGTACGTCGACGACTTGATTTTTGCCACAGCTGACACTGCTGGACTCGCTCACGTGAAGTCCGAGCTGCAGAAGAGACACACGTGCACAGACCTGGGTGAACTGCGCAGCTACCTTGGCTTGCAGATCACCCGGGACAGAGCACAGCGCACCATTACCCTGACTCAGTCACACATGGTGCAGTAGGTCCTTCAGCGCTTCGGCTTCACGTACTCCTCGCCTCAGGCCACTCCTCTGTCTACTCGCCACTCGCTCTCAGCTCTGCCTTCGGATGAGTCCGTAGAGTCGAGTGGCCCGTACCCAGAGCTTGTTGGCTGCCTCATGTACCTGATGACCTGCACTCGACCTGACCTTGCATACCCTCTTAACATTCTGGCACGCTATGTTGCTCCTGGGAGACACAGACCAGAGCACATGGCTGCAGCGAAGAGGGTGTTGCGCTACTTGTGCAGTACGTCGGGCATGGGGCTTGTGCTTGGAGGGTGGAGTCCAGTGGTCCTCACTGGTCACGCAGATGCTTCTTGGGCTGACGACCAGGCTACGCAGCGGTCGTCACAGGGTTACACCTTCAGCCTTGGTTCCGGCTCTGTTTCGTGGCGGTCTACCCGCTCGTCTTCTGTTCTCGGCTCCAGTTGTGAGGCTGAGATCTACGCGGGGGCCATGGCTGCACAGGAGCTACGCTGGCTCACCTACCTGCTGACTGACCTTGGAGAGCAGCCTCGTTCGCCTCCAGTTCTGTACGTAGACAACAAGGCCATGCTGGCCTTGTGTCGGGAGCACAGACTGGAGCACAGAACGAAGCACATTGCTCTTCGCTACTTCCTTGCTCGTGAGCTGCAGCAGCGTGGTCAGCTGCGACTTGCTTACATGGCCTCTCAGGCCAACACTGCTGATATCTTCACCAAGGCACTCGCGCCTTGTGATCATCAGCGCTTCTGTACTCTGTTAGGTCTTGTACCTACTTTGCCTCACTTGCTCACTTCTTGACCTTGCTTGTACTGTGACCTATATATACTTGCACTTGCATGTTTAGCTTTATATATATATGCTTGCATGTGAACTGGCCTTGTGGCCCTTGAACTTGCGCTCAGAATGTGTGGTGACGTTGGGATCCACCCTGAGCTTGTTGTGCTTTGCTTGACTGGTCTTGTGACCCCTTGTTCTCCCCCACTTTGCCTATGGGGGTGTGTCGAACTTATATGCTATAGTCTTTCTAGGCTGTAGTGGGGTAGACAGTATGGGGTACAGCTTTCTAGGGTTTCATATTTGTACCCAGCTTATTTCGTAGTTCACCATTCTCGTTCTATCTTTCACAGTCAAAACAATATCAATAGAAGGTGCAAAACAAAATCAACAAATATAATAAAAATGAATTCTGCAAATCACCACTACTCTTCCCACTTTGCAGACTGAACTTGGCTTTCTAAAAGGTGCAATATGATATTCGATGTAGAGGAAATGGGAAAGCAAAACAAGGGAGGATAGGAGAGAAATGACACTGAAAGTGATGAAGGAGAGGGAAAAAAAGGAAGAGGGGAGAGAAGGAAAAAAATATCAAAGTGTGGAGAAAATAGAAAAGAAAGCAAGGCAGATGAGGAGAAGAACATGGTAACCAAACAGAATGCAAGCAAATGGTGGTAAGGAAAAATATGATGAAGAACGATATACATTAAAAAAACAGAACCAAAAAAACAGAGCAAGTAATAAAACAGGAAACGACGATATACAACGGAGAGGGAGAGCGAGAGCGAGAGCTGTCAGAATCCCAACCACTAGACCATTGGGATAAAATGGCTTGTTTAAGTAGCGGGTCAGTGCGCCCATAACCCCCCAGGCCAACGTGCCTGTAACCCTTCCCTAGGATCAATCGGGGATCACCAGTGGACCTCTGACACCCCCCCGCACTGGGATGGCCGAAGTGCATACACCGGAGTTGTAAGCATGCAAAACGGGAAAGAGACGATGAATAGTAGAAGAATGGATGAAATCTAGTGAAAGCCCTAAAGCTAAAGTATCTACAACAATCCTAGAACCTAAGCCTTAAACAACATGCAGCCAATACTATGTTAAACAACTACGATATGAGACTAAGAAATGGTAGTCTAGCTTCTAATGATCTGATTTGGCTCAAAATGAGAGGTTAGGGTAGTTCTTACCTTGCACTAGTAGGTGGAGCGTGTCTGGCGGGGAGCTCAACTAGCGAGGAGGAGGAGCGGGAGAAAAAAGGGACGAGCAAACCCTAAGGTAGTCCCAGATTCGTCGCAAAGTTTTAGGTCCTACAACAGCTGTAGTTCGAAAAGAACATCGGTGCGGTCCTAGTCGTGTGAGGAAGAATGCGGAATCGAAAGGTCTAGTTTGATTCTTGCTGATGCGAATTTTTTAATCTTTGCAAAGTGAGAGGAAGTACCACTTAGTGTCATACTACAGCATAATGTACGGAAGAGAGTTTGTACAAATTTATGTAATTACGCAAAACGCTTCGCAACCCTAAGACGATTTCGTCGCCTCTTGTTTTTTTTTTTTTTGCGAAATTCTTGTTTATGGACAAGAGGCAGACTCGTGAGGTGACCAAATCGAAGGCACCGCTGGAGTGCCATTCGAACGCGATAATGAGAAATCCAACCAGAATCCTGGTTCAGTCGGCCGCTAGTTCTCGAGCTGGTCCGTCGGGTCCGCGTCGAACCCACGTGGACTCGCGTTTTTGAGACACGTCCTTAGTGGGTTCGAGTTCTTGCCACATGCGGAAAATGTGGACCAGCCAGGAGACCTAGGCTCTGAGACCAGTGTAGGACCTCTAGGTTAGTTTTGAACGCGTTGCTTCTGAGACCAGAATGAGGGTGTTCTGAGAACGTGTGCTTCGGATCGCGTATTTCGTCGGATCGCGCGTTGCGTGGGATCCCGCCTTTAATGGCCAGGCGGCGGTGATCCTTCAGCTCCGCAGCGCGCTGCAGTCTCTGATCGCGACTCCTCGCCTCGACTCTCCGTCGCAGTAGACGCGTCACGCGCACCATGGCGAGGGGAGCCCGGCTTTGGTGCGCCATCCCCTTCGCCGCGCACGCGCTGTTCCGCAGGGCGCCGACCAAGCGCAACGTCCTTGCGCTGCTGCTGGTGCTTGCGCTCGTCGTGCTGCTCGCGATCGTGCAGTGGCGCGCGCCACCACAACAGCCCACTCTCATTTCCGGCATGTCCGCGTCCTCGTCTTCCCGGTGGGTGCGGCGACGCGAGTGGCGGTGGGAGCAGGCATGGGGTTGTTCGGTGCGCGGTCGGGTATGGTTGCGGATGCGAGTCGGATCCTGCGGCGATCCCACACAGGGCGAGACGTGTGTCTGGTTGTGCTTGGGGCGTGAAACAAGAGGGTTTTGGCGCGAGATCGACGCAGCTAATTGCACAGCACAGTCACACAGCATAGTGGCACACTGCAGTGTGTTGACGAACAGGGTGCTTTCCTTCCGTAGCACACTCCTTTACCCTCGTTCCCTTTCACTGTTCTCATCGCATTGGCGTTTCCTCAACCCCCCACTCGCCCAACTTTCACCTCCCAGCAACCCCGCTCGCGTCCCCACTCCAATCAACCCCTCGTCTCACCTCGCTCCGCATGTTTCACTTCGCTCGTTCAAATTGCTCTTTGTTCGCCTTTCTGTAACACCTCCTTATCTCCATCCTCGCAATCCTCACAATTCCTCCTGACGCTCACATCTTCCCCTCACGTTTCCCCTTTCCCTCCCCCCCCCCCCCACACCCCCCCCCCTCCCTTTCCACTCTCCGTTCCCCCTTTTCCCTTCCTCTTTTCCCATTCATCCCCCTCCCCCTTTCTCCCTTCCGTTCCCCTAACCTTGCCTTCTCCCTTCCCTTCCACCCCCATCGCTTCCCACATGCTCCTCCTGTACTCCTTCCCCCCGCTCACCCTCCCCCCATCGCGACAGCCCCACCTCCGCGGAGCTGTACGAGGCATGGGCGCAGCTCTTCGCGCTCGCCGCCCCCCTGCCCCCGTCCGCCATGCGCATCCCCGCATCGCTCCCCCCCCCTCCCCACTTGGAGGACTGCGCCTCGCGCACTGCCTTCCGCCTCGCCACCGAGCGCAGAGGGGCACGCGGGAAGGCCATCGAAAATGGCACGCCGCAAGGGGTGGGGGGAGAAGGGGAGGGGGATGCACCGGAGTGGGCGCGGGCGTCTGCTGCGTGTGCCAATGTGCCGCAGCCACCATGGGTGAGTGAGCCGCTATCAGGCCTTTCCCTATCATGTGCAGCACTGGGCGCACCGGGGCTGACTCAAGTGAAGGAGAAGCTGTGGCATATGGCCGGTTCATTGCAGTACCTCACACGATCAAGTTGAAGGGCCCTTGCAGGCGCCTGTTGATATGTGTGTGGCGTCAGTCAACCCATGCTCGTGTGCACCCGGGTGTGTGTGTAACCAACCCTTGCCTGGCTCACCTCGTGCATCCATGCGACACGTGCTGCCGGTTTCTCCTTGTTGCTGAGCTTGCCTCATCAATCCTCCAATTTCTCCTTCTCATCCTTCCTCCATCTGCCCCTCCTCTTCGTTCCTCCCGTGGCCCCCCACCACTCTCAAATGCCCCTCTCCCACCTCTCCAATGCCTCTGCTCCCTCTCTCCTCCACTTCGTCCCCCCCTTCCCCCTGCCACCTGCACCGCGCCTGCACGCCTGCGCGCCCACTCGCCTGCCTGCCTTACTGCCTGTGTGCACGGCAGGTGCGCGGAGCAGATGCGGCGAATCTGGGGAGCACACGGGTGGTGCAGAGGGACCTGTGGGCGCACCAGTTCCCCCCCGGGCCGTGTGAGGGCCGCCGCCTGCTGCTCGTGCACTGGCCCCACCCGGACGTGCCATCCACCGATGCTCATGGCAGCAACAGTGAGAGCGGTGTTGGGAGGATTGGATTGGGTGCGTCGGAGGTGGCGGAGCAGCTGGTGGCGATGGCAGGGGCGCTGAGTGTGGCGGTGAGCAGCCAGCGCGTGCTGGTGCCCATGCCAGGCTCCTTCCTCCCTGCCAACCACTCCCACTGCCAAGGTCAGTCCACCCACATCACGCCACACCCACCACGCCAACCACAGGTGCACAAGGCGCTGCCTCGGTCAGTCCGTCCACATCATAAGCTGCGCACACATTTTTTACAAAAAAATGAATCTTGACAAGCAAGGCAGGAGCCAGCCACCATGCAATGCAAGAAATGCTTCGTGAAGTGCTTCATTACCTGCCATTGCCGCTCTCCGGAACTTGTCTATGCTCAGAAATTCTCAATCAGCTGTTTCTGCCAGTCTACTGATCTGCACTCACAAGTGCTTCTCTCCCCTTCCGCACCTCATTAATTGCAACATAGTCAGCTGCTCTCATTAACTGCTTCTCTCTCCTTACAGCAAGCAATGTGAGCATTGTAGTGACAGGCTTCACTTCACGTCCTTTCACCCCCATCTTGTCACGTCCTTTTCAGCTGCAACATGCAGCACCCTTCGCTACACTCCCACATTCTCCTTTCATGCATGTGCCATCTCGATCCTTTTCCCCTCTACCTGATCGGCCCTATGTTGGGAAAAAACGCCCTGGTGCTCAAGTACGTCGTTTACGCTTAATGTAGTGTGTATACGAAACAACAGAACGTGATTCACACAAGAATACTGCGGCCAGATCCGCGGGGATCAAGAATGTCGCAGCCTTACACTTGCCTTAACCATGGCGTCTGTGTCCTTGCTGTCTCATTTGTTTTGCCGCTGCACAAAGCTTTTTTGTTCCGGCCCAACACTCCGTATTGAAGTTTGGAGATCAAGTGTTCTGTGTATTTACGAGAGCGTATAGTACAATAGTACAATTATACGTAATACCCATACTTTCCAACGCAGGATCAGCCAACTTGCACACTCCCAACCCACACCTGTGCACATGCCTGAAACCCCCCACCTCCATCTCCTGTGTGAACCGTCCCCTCTCTCCTCGCCACAGTGGTGAACGAGTCGGGTTCGCTGAACTGCTACTTCTTCCGCTCTGTGTCGGCTGCATGTGAAGCAGCAGCCATGCAGCAGTACAGCGCTGCCGGCTCGCCCCCCTGCCGCCCGCTCTCCCAGCTTGCCCATGTCATTGCCTCCAACGACTCCCTCGTCTGTGCCCTCGCCACCCTTTATCCTTCCTCTCGCCCCCACTCCGCTGCTGCTAGGTACGCCCATACACGCAGCCCTGGAAAGGGCATGCGGTGGTTCTTTGCATGAGTGTCAATTTTGGCTATTGCATCATGTATGGTTGGAAGCAGTACGGTACCCTAATCCTTAACCCTGCATCCATAACGTGATTGTCAACCTCCGAAGTGCCTTGTAATCCCCGCCTCCCTTGATGCCTTCATGCTGCGCTGCCTGTGGGCAGGGCATGGGGCGATGCATACAAGCAGCGGCCTTACCTGGTGGAGGAGAGGGGCGTCATGGTCAATGCTTCAGAGGAGCACATGCAGGTCACCCACTGCCATGCCATGCCATGCCATGCACTGCCATGCCGTGCCGTGCCGTGCCATACCATGCCATTCCATGCCATGCCATGCCATGCCGTGCCGTGCCGTGCCATGCCATGCAATGCCCTGCCGTGCCGGGCCGTGCCATGCCGTGCCATGCTATCCCATGCCGTGCCATGCCATGCCGTGCCATGCCATGCTATCCCATGCCGTGCCATGCTATGCCGTGCCATGCCATGCCATGCCGTGCCATGCCATGCTATGCCGTGCCATGTCTTGTCATGCCGTGTTCATGTATCGCATAGATATCCGTGCAGACTGGCTCACCCGCAAAAGTTGGTTGTGTGGCACATCGCTAGCGCAAGCCCTATGTCGCACCCGATGTCCTCAAGCCACACGCAAAGCACCCGTCCAAATCATCTCTCTTCTGCCCCACTTCATGACTTCTTGCAACAGCTCTCAGCTTGCCACCTCGCACTGCAAAATGTTTCTCCCTCTCATGCTTCTCGCCTTTCCCTCCACGATTTGCAGCCCTCGTTATTCCTTTCTCCCCCGACCCCCCTTTCCGTCCCCCAGGCCTACTGGTGGCAGGCGCAGGCGCTGCGCTTCCTCCTACGCTGGCCCTCCGCGCTGCTGTGCCACGCCACCAACCGCATGCGCCACTCCGCGTACGGGCTGCAAACCGCAGTCCTGGCAGCAGCGCAGGTGGCGGAGCAGCGAGCTATCCTTGCGGCCCTGTGGTCGCCATTCTCCGACGCGCACCAGCACCTGGGCATCGACATCCGCTCCGAGGCCAGGCTGCTTGGCGCTCTTGACTTCTCCCAACCCCACAACTTGGAAACGGACGTCTGGCCTGCTCTGGGGTTCGCTGGATGTGCTGATGGTGTAGACGTGGGGACCGGGGGGAACGACGTGAAAGGAGAGAGTGTGGGGAGTGAGGGGAGGGAGGGAGGTGGAGAGAGAGGGGTTCGTGAGGAAGGTGGTGCAGGAGCAGAGTCAGCTGATGAGGAGGAGAATGTTCCCGAGGAGAAGCCAGCGGCGCTAGTGACATACGAGAGAGTGGGCAAAGAGGTGGGCATGCCACGGCCGGTGGTGAGCATGCACGTGGAGCAGCAGGCAGGCGGGGGAGTGGACGCGCTGCGGCCGCTGCTCGCGCTGACCCACCGCGTACGCCACCTCGACCCGGCCACCACATTCGCCTGGCTCTCCGCACAGCACCTGGTAGGTGCGCGTGTGCTTGGGGGGAGGGAAGTGGGAGCTGGCTTGAATGCGCCTGCCTCTCTGCACGGCACCTGGTGCATGTGGCTCTCCGCACACTCGCTGGTGCATGCAGGGGAGGCAGGGGGTTAAGAGAGGAGCGAGGGGAAGGTGTGTGTGCATGGTCGTGACGGTGCATGTGGGTGTAGGCATGGGTGGGCTGGCAAATGGTTGTAAGTGTGTGAGCATGTGTGCATGGATGCGCCTGTGTGTGCGTGCGTGCGTGCGTGCGTGCGTGTCGGTGCATGGGTGCGTGTGTGTCGGTGGACGCCTGTGTTCGTGCGTGCGCTCGGGCGGGTGCGGGTGTGGGTGTGGGGGTGGGGGTGGGGGTGGGGATGGGTGTGGGGTTGGGAGCATGCGTGCGGGCATGCATGTGTGTTTCCTTTCTATACAACTTGTGCGCATGTGTACGTGCTGATACAACCCTCTCTTCCTACCCCTCCCCTTGTTTTCTTGTCTACCTTTCTCAGTGCCTCGCCATCGTTCCTCTTTTTCCACACTCACAGTGTGGACACACCCACAGTTTCAGTGCACATTGCACCTCCGCTCCTGTTCTTTCTAGCAGTGCAAAGCGACTCAATGCCATGCACTGTGCGCCATGCACTCGTCAATCTGCACATGCCTGCAGGGTGCTCTGTCGGGTCATAACTGGAGCAACGTCAGCGGGCCGGGTAGGCTATTCCCATGGGTTTTTCTCTTCCCCATCGACATGACCCTTCAAGAGCATGACGCAACAGCAGCTTCCTTCTCGTCTCTGCTCATTGCATCAGAGAGTGACTACCTTGCTGGGGCACTGAATTCCACCTGGAACCGTGTCGTTCACACGCTGAGGTCGACTAATGGCCGCTTGTACTCTGGGTTTGTCTCGTGAATTTGGGTACTGTAACATGCTGCTTCTGCCGTATTCCTGTGGATATACCGTATCACCCCGGATAAAAGTGCAGGTGCGCTTATAATAAAACAGTGTTTTTTAGGGGGGTGCGCTTGTAATTGAGTCATTTGTATAAGCGCATGCGCTTATATTATGACATTGAATTGTAATTTTAAGACACCAAATTGTATATTTCACTCTTGCCATTTCAACCGAGTCGTTTTTTTTTCCCGTCACAAAGCAGAATCGCGTGCAAGCGATTCTCTCCCAGCACATCCTGACTGGACGCGCAGCCAGTCAGGTCTTCGAGAGTCAAGCTAGGCGAAAATGAGATTGTACTCGCTTCGAAATTGAAACTCGCTAAAGTTTTAAACAGAAATTTTGATTTAAAATTGTACATGCGCTTATAAAAAGTAATGTTTTCACAGGGGGTGCGCTTATAATTGAGGATCGGCCATAAGCGCATTGCTCCAGATAGAAGCGCGCGCGCTTATAATAGGCCTGCGCTTCTATCCGGGGTGATACGGTAACACACTATCTTTGCACTTCAAGATCCATGCAAGAACAGTTATGGTGTAATGACATCAGGTGGAGTATTGTTTATGCTATGCGCTAAGACCACTGACATCATCACGCATAGCAAACGTTTCCAACATGAATCTGACCTTTCAGCCAAGCCTACACCCACAGGCATACACAATTTTTACCCTGTAGAAAAGCCACCCGTTCAAATATTTCAAGATATTTCCATGAATATTGGACTGAACCCGGGGGTCTACTATGCGGTGAATTGCGGTACGTATGCCTTATTCCCGGGCAATGACAGTGTGCAGGGGATGTTTTATGGTACCGATTCACACGGTATCAGACCCTCGGTTTCGTTAGAGGATGTGGATGTTGATGGTCAAACAAAAAAAAAAAATGTGAAAAACAAAAGGTTTCCAAACAAATGATGTACTGATTTTGGGGAGCAAGCAGCACCCACTTCCTTTTTTTAAAGAGCACATCAATGCACCGTAGGGTATTGTACACACAGTAAGGTGGTTCCACTACACCGCCACACAACCCTACAGTACCAGCAAGCCCATACATAGGGTCCAGAACCCTCATTCGAGCAGCAACAGCCATCGACCCATCACCACTCTTCCACGGCCACGAACCCAGCAAAGAGGCGGCCATTGGTGCTCCTGAGTGCGTCAATGAGGCGGCTCCAGTGCGAGTTGAGCGTGCCCACAAAGTAGTCACTCTCCGCCGCCACCAGCAGGTTCGCCAGGCTCGCCCCCACGCTCACCTGCAGCCCCACCTGCTTCTCGTACTCTGTTACTGCCTGCGGGGCGCTCTGCCGCGGGTGGTCTGAGTGCAGAAAGTTCCAGTCGGGGAATTGCTTCGAGTGCTCTATGTCCAGCTGAGGGGCGCACGGGCAGGGTGTGTGCACAGGGCGGGCACAGGATATAGGTTGATGAAGAATTTAGGTGGCAGGAAGGGTGTACATGCACTGGAAAATGCATGTGGATTGCAGCGTGTGGCAGGCATGGTTTGAGGAGTGGCGGCGGGGTGATAGAGTGAGTTGGGGTGGGATCGAGAAAGGGTGCGGAGTTGAAAATCCCTTCCCTTCCCTTTCCTTCGTTTCCCTTACCCTACCTATCCTTCCCTCCCCGCCCAATCCTGCCTCGCCTTGTCCCACCAATCAAAGCAAGCCCCCCCTGCCCCTTGTGACCCCCATAACCGCACCTGCAGTCTGGAGCTGAGCCACACATGAGTGAGCGAGGGCACGTGCTTGCGCATGCCATAGAGCGAGAACATGAACCCCGCCAGAGACCGCACACTAGCCTTGCTGCCCGCGTCCTCCACCTGTCGCACGTGCAGCCCCACGACAGGCCGCATCATAAACACCTCCCGCCCCACCGCCTCGTACACGCGATCCACCCGTGCCGGCCCCGGGCCCTTGTACTGGTAGCACCCTTCAAAGCCCTCGCCCGGCCACACGTCCGCCTCGAGGCTCTGCGAGTGCGAGAAGTTGAAGGACTGCAGGTACTTGGCCTCGTCGCTGCCGTTCATGCGCATGGACGCGTACGCGGGGTGCACGTTGTTGCTCGCTAGTGCTGCGATGATGGCTGCACGCTGTGTGGTCACTGCTGCCACCTGAGAGGCGACTGAGAGGCCGTAGGACGCGTGGCGCATGCGGTTGATGGCGTGGCACAGGTGCAAGGAGGGCCAGCGCAGCAGGAAGCGCAGTGCCTGTGCCTGCCACCAGCGCAGCTGATGGGGGTGGTGGGGAAGGGTAGGGGGGTGTGGAGAGCGGGGTGATTATGGTGGAAGGGTGAATGGTGTGAAAGGAAAAGAATGGCAAAACATGGCTTGGATTAAGGTTGGGCACACTTCACAGTCATACATACGGGAGGAAGTAAGTGGGGAGGTGAGAGCGAGAGAGTTGAGAGAGGGGCAGTGAAGGCAGGGCAGAGAGAGAGGGCACAGCGGAGAGGCGGACCTTGAGCTGGGCCTCGTTGAGTGGGTGCATCTTGCCCGCCAGCTCCACCACACTCGGACGGTTGCGATGCGGCGAGCCCCACAGCCTGTGAGCGGGGGGAAATTGAGTGAGGGACACACAGCAGCAGCAGGTGACCCCTCAGTGCGACACACAAAGCACCTCTCTCCAACACGTGCAGACACACATTTCACCCACTTTTAAGGCAGGCAGAACCTCCCCCTTCACCGCACAGCACCACAGAATAACACAGCAGCACCACGCAGCGTGCTTCACATACATAAAAGTGCGTGGGCGCACGCACGAACCTGACGGCATCACAGTCGTCCCGGTGAGAGGTATCATTGAGCAGCACCACTGGCTGCTCCGATGCTAGCACTGTGGCCTTGCTGCCACCCTCCGCCACCACCACCACCTCCTCCACCCCCTCCCCTGCCACTCCCTCCGCACCCACCCCTGCTGCCGCAGGAGCTGCTGCCGATGCTGCCCCTGCTTCTACTTCTGCTCCTGCTGCTGCTGCTGCTGCTGCCCCTACCGCTGTGCCCTGTGCTGCTGCTGCTGTGGCGGCCATTGCAGCGACAGCCCTGTCAGTGCAGGCCTGTGCCGTCATGGGCAGGAAGTAGCAGTCGAACGACCCCTCCTGCCCTACAGCTGGGGTGAACAACGGACGGGAGGGCAAGGGAGGAGAGAGAGGGAGGGGGAGCTGGGAAGGATGGTGGGGTACGAGTGCATGCGAGAAGCACTTGTGGGTCACAACAGCAGTGCAGTGACATGCTTGGGTAGTTATCAGCACAGCCGCAGCAGCAGGAACGGCAACAGCAGCAACAGCAGCAGCGGCAACAGCAGCAGCGGCAGCAGTGGAAACAGCAGCAGCAACAGTAGCAGCGGAAGCAGCAGCAGCAGCAGCAGCCGAGAGATGCAGCAGCAACGGGCACTAGCACACAGCCAAAAACAGCACCATGACTGGAAAACCCAGCCACCTCAACAAACCCCCACGCAGCTCACGCACCACCACCCCTAGCCTTCCCCTTCCTCCAAATGCCCTCACGCCATACCCTACCCCAACCCACCTTTGCATGCAGAGTGGTTGGCGCGGGAGAAGGAGCCAGGGAGCATGACGAGCGTGCGGTTGTGGTGCATGGCCATGCTCAGATATGCCGTCGCCACCAGCAGCTGCACTCCGATGGGGTGCGTGGCCGCATCGGGCCACGGGGCCACTAGCAGGCGCTGCCCAGTGCAGTTGGCGGGTGGGAACTGGCTCGCCCAGATGTCCCTCTGCGCCACACGCGTCAAAGCTAGATTGGCCGCGTCTGTGCCTCGTACCTAGGCCGGTGGCCGGGAAGGAAGCAAAGGGGGTTGGAGGGGTTGGGGTTTGGGCTCATAGTGCAGTGTTCCCTTCCCCATTCACACCATCTCCGCTCATATGCCACCATTCCCCTTCCCCCCATCCAAACCCCAAACAACACTCCTTCACGCACCCGCACCCACCCACCCACGCACCCAGGGCGGTTGGGGCGCGCAGCCGCAGCAGGCGGAGGGGTTAGTCCAGTCAGGGGGAGAGGAGTCCGCCCCGCGCTGCTCCACCTGCCAGCGCCAGTGCGTGCGGTTGGCGCAGTCGTCCAGGTGGGGCGCGGGGGGCACGTGCGCGGGGAAGGAGAGGTTGGCGGGGGGCGCGGGGGAGTCGGGGGAGAGCCCGTAGACCGCCTCCCATTGCTGCACGGGGGATGGCGGCTCGAGAGGGGCAGGAGGAACGAGCGGGGAAGAGGGAACGAACCGGGAAGGAGGGACGAGGGAAGAGGGGACGAGGAGGTAAATGGGGTCGAGGAAGGAAATAGAGATGAGGGGGGAAATAGGGAACGATGGGGAAAGGGATGAGATCAAGGGAGAGTAGTCGGGCGATGGGGAACTGGTTGCACGCGCGCTTGCGCAATCAGCATCGGCGGGCAGCGCACAGAGCGGAGGCAGTGGCGGTGCGAGCGCGGGGAAGGGGGCGCGGGAACGGGGGAGGGCCGCGGAAGCAAGGAGACCAGAGGAGACGAAGGCGGGGGGAGTGCAGGAGAATGGCGGGGACGAGCGCCGATGTCGTGCGGGACCCGGTGTGCGCAGGAGATGGGTGAGGGCGAGTCGCAGGCAAGAGAAACGGCCGTAGGGGGAGCGCGACAGAGGGAGGCGGGTAGAGGGGAATCGGGGAGCTGGGAATCGGGAGGCTGTGAATTGGAAAGCGGGGGTGTATAGTGCAGGGGAGTGGAGAGCGGGGAAGCGGAGAGCGGGGGAGCGGAGTGCGGTGCAGGACGTACTCTGGAGAGCGAGAGGGCGTGCTCGAGGCTAGTAACGCCAGGGGTGGCAGAGCACGACGAGAGATACGCGAGGACGACTAACAGCGCTCCCACCCACACAAGCCACAGTCTCGTCTCCATACGGAATCACTCGGGGCTCGCAGTGACGCGCCGGTGCGGAGTTGGGGCATGAACGGACATGCGGAAGAAGTCCCTTCCTGCACCTCTCTACTAATTGCACAGCGGCGGCGGGGTTGACCGCTAAATTGTAGGGAGGGGAGCGACGCGGCGGCGGGGTTGTCGCTGGAAGAAAGGCTATTTGTGCTTGCGATTCTGTTGATGGTGAGTGGTTGGATGCGCTGGCGATTTGATCGGCGCTAGGCGTTCTCAGGGCGTGTTCTTCTTAGAAATAGTTTTGGTAGTCAGCTAGTTAGTCAGTCTTTCAGCTTGTTACGCAATTGTTTCATGCCGTTTGGGATGTCTCCAACTGCACCCGAATAACAGGTACTGAATCAGGCCGAGGCCATCCTCTCATGACAAGCTCAAGACCGCCATGGCCGTTTCCAGGAACTTCACCTGCGGCAATGTCTATCAGTAGACCTGCACTACGAGGTCTCCGATTGATCCTAGGGGGGTTACACGCATGTTAGCTTGGGGGGGAGTTAGGTGCACGGACCCGCATTTGGAACAAGCAATTTTATCCCAGTGGTCTAGTTGTTTGGATTCTGACATGGTGTCAGAGCGGTCCGTGCAACGGCAAGCATGTGGAATCTCGCCTTGAACCGGTCACTCCTAAGACACTCTTAAATGGAGCTGCTGTGCCGTTTGGAGTGGAGGTGATCAACACGCTGACGTTCGCACTCAAGCCGGACGACCTGCCGACGAGAGAGAAGGACAAGACAAGGATAAGGCAACGGCTGTCGGTAGCTCGTCGATGGTACCAGATATGGCAGACAAGGTGGTGGAAGTAGAGGATGATGCGGGCTACCTCAGCAATGGCCCAGGCGAATGCGAAGACTCGGCGATGCCCAACAACATTGCACCGCAGGCGGGTTTCCCCATCATACTTCTGATCCCTTTCGCATGGCACAAGGAGGTCCCGTGGACCATCAACACCGTGAAGAACCTGCTGTTGCTATGGGGGAAGCATTTATCAGAGAACGCCAGTGTTACAACCAAGTTTCAGCAGCTGCTAGCCACTTACCTCCCCAAGATGCACTTCAATTGCCTCCATGAGGTCTTTCTGCAAGCAGCAAATGCGAACTTTATCTGGTGCCGGGATGTGGAGCATGTGACGATGAACAACAAGAGGCTGATCCTCGACTAGGAGCATCCGGAGAACACTACGTACCTGAAAGAACGCGATGCACACCCGGAGGCTATTGAGGTCTTCCTCAAGGAGGTCCCAGTGGTGATCTCACAAGAAATGAACCGCAAGAACCTGGTTACGGCACTCCTGCTGAAATGCGGCCATACGCCTTTCCTTTGTGCCTTCCCCAAGGTGCTGGATCCGGTAACAGGATCAGACACTGACAAGATCGGGGGCCTGGTGTACAGGCACTCGCGGGATAAGTAAAAATGGTGGCACAAGGTTACGTACAAAGTCCACGCAACTGAGCTGCTCGTATCCTTCCCCGCTCTTGCGTTTTTTGCAACGCCGTGCGCATGACGTGTTTCCACGATGGCTATGTTAAGGAGAGGCAGGATAACATTGGTTTGGGAATGGAGTTAGTCGCTGCTGCGGCTCCACGAGATTAACAGTAAAAACATCACTCTTACCTTGCCTTTCAGGTGACTACGATGGCGGAACCTCATGTTGATGTCTATGCCGCCTCCCCACTGGGTAGCTACTTCTCTTAAGCTGACAACGGCAATGAAAATCATCATGGAAGATCCGGTGATCATCCTTACCCCCATCAGAGGGGCCAAGGAGGAATAGGTCCGTATTTAAGATGACTGCGGGAAGTCTCATGGCACCAGTTTTGCGCAAGCGACAGAGCACACTCAGTCGGTCCGTCACTGCATTGGTCAACTCAAGGCAGGAATTGCAATGAGTCAAAGCAGAGAGAAGCAAAGTTTGGCGGCTTTCCGGAAGGAGATCGGGATGTAGTCGCTGCAACACCCAGGCTGTCGTCCCGGTTTTCAGCTGAAAGAAGAGTAGAAAGGAGATGCAATAAGAAGGGAGAGTTAACAAATGCCATGTTTGTCACGTGCTGTACCTATGTAATAAAGCCCGTGGATGTAAGGGGCTCTCTACAGTATGGATCAATGAGTAACAAATCGCGACTTACCATCCGCGGGGTCAATGTGAACGGCCTCGGCAATAACGGCAAAAGAACCAAGCACGGTCGGTGGCTGTGCACGGTAGCTGACGAAGTAGTCTTATTAGACACAAGGATAAAGGAATATCACAGTCTCTGGAGCCAGCTTTAGCCAAGGGTATGGGCCCCTGTCAACCCAAGCTTGTCGGCCAGAGGTGTAACAGTTTTCGCTTTCCCGTTTCTCGAAGATATCTGCACATCCATCAGGAAGGCTCCTGGAGGTGATAGTAGAACGGGGAGAAGAGTCTTTCAGGCTCATAGTGGCCTACCTCCCGGCACAAGCATGTAGTAGAGCTAATTTCCACACGGACCACCAGACCCCTTTTGTGCAGACCGAGCCAACGTCGAACCACGTGGAGGTGATAGGAGACCTCAACATAGCGGCGGACCCGGATCTGGAGAAGTCGTTAGGAGCGGGATCAGGAAAGGAAAATCAACGGCTGTGAACCTGTGCTTAACGCACGATCTCCGAGATGCCTTCATGGCGCTCTGCCCTACAAAGAGGGAGTACAATTTTCGCTCGAATGCAATGACGTCGAGATCACGCACCGACAGTGCTTTGGTGTCGACGTCACTGCTGGGGAACCTGATGGAGGCGAGCCACTCGTAGGTGCCGAGGAAGCTCTCAGACTACTGGTTTGCCATACGGGTGTGCCTGAGAATTGCGTCGTCATAGGAGAGCGGTAGGGCTATGGAGATTTCAAGCAACACACCACGATATAAAGAGGATGAGAATGGTAATCAAGAAAAGCATCGAGATGTTGGCTAGACAAGGCAAGGGCTCTCTCAAACGCACGCGGCTCACGGCAAGGCTGAGCGCGCATGAGAAGGAGGAGAGAAAAAGGCCGGTGGCGATGCAGCAACATCTCACGACAGAAGTGAGCGGCTTAGGCACCTGGTCATGGGGGGGCCAACGGACGAAAGGACAAATAAACAGTTGCTGACCAAAGAAGAGCAGTTGGAGGCATATCACGAGAACAAAAGGGAGAAGCTACAAGTCTTCGTGGGACTCACGTCGGAGCTGCAGGGGAGGTACTATCACCGTACTTGTCTGCCAAGGTGAAGATACGGAAAGAGAGGACGATGATTGGCAGGGTGATATTCAAAGGAGAGCGATATAGTGGCTAACAAAAGGTGCTGAAAGGAGTGTCGACGCACTTCATGGAGGTTTTCAGCGTGGGCCAAGGTCTGACATTGCTGGACGGAGATGACATCATGGTAGACAAGACGCTGCCGGAAGAGGCGGCAGACCGAATCAGGGCCCCATGGATGGAGAAGGAGGTGAAGGCAGCTCTGACAGGGCTTCCAAGGGGGGAGTTGCCAGGACAAGACGGGATCTCGACCGAACACTTCGCGGCCCACAGGGATCTGCGGGGGGGCAGTTTTGTGGACTTGGTATTTTTTTTTTTCAAGTCGTCAGGGTTGCTGTCGAAGTCGGTCACAACAACGGTTACGGTCATGCTTCACAAGAAAGGCGCAAAGGATCAGCTAACAAATTACAGGCCTATTACACTGCTTAACAAGATGTACAAGGTGTTGGTGAAATTGTTGGTGAATATACTAAAAAAGGAGCTTCTACTGATCATCTCAAAGGAGCAGCATGGGTTAATACCGAGGCGGAGCCTGGCGGATACGGTGGCGGTGGTGGCGGATGCGATAGAAGCGGCCGACAACAGTGGGGAGGACTAGTACCTCATTTTGGTGGACTTCCAAAATGCCTATGACTCGGTGTCACGGCCTTACCTTTTCAAGACACTGTCAAAGCTCGGAATGCCTTCGGATTTTGTGCGATGGGCAGAGAGGTGACACCAGGGGTCATGCATAAAAATTGCAATAAATGGGTGGATCGAAGGCAAGGTGGAGATGAAGAGCGGGGTAAGGCAGGGATGCCCACTGGCACCCTACCTGTACGTTTGTGCGCTGGAGCCGCTATTTGCGAAGATCAGGAAGCGGGGACTGGGAATCGAGGCAGAAGGTGGAGAGGAGGTGGCGTATGTAGGGTACGCGCGACGACACATCAATGGTGCTTCGGGGGGGCGACCAACTTTGCTCAGCAGCAGAGGCGCTGGAGGTGTTTGGCAATCTGTCAGACCTACAAACGAATCAAGACATTCAA